AAATCCTTGAATGCATCAGATTCAACTAGTCGTAGAGAAATGCCAGTTCTATAGAAGTAGTTTGATAATTTTATGTCAACATCCGCCTTCCATTCTCCATTTGTTGTGTCAGCTACATGTGAAAGCGATTCTTGTGAGGCTTGCATCGGTTGAGTGTGTTCATTTTGATAGGATGTGGAAGGATGTGCTGGTGATTCTGATTTGCGTTTCGAAAACAGTCGTTTTTCTTCGAGACTGGCATTTGGACAGGATGAGCTCTTGTGTGCTGCAAGACGTTCTTTGGACCACTGGACACGTTTATCACATAATTTGCACTTGCCATAAGTAGTTTGACGATTGTAGTCGGTTAAATATTTTGCGACTTCGATTTGACTCATTATAGCCTTTTTCTAACGAGAAACGATTTTCTAATTAAATGTATATGATTCAAATGTATGCAAATCATTACTTACGATAGTTTTTGAAGCAAAATAATAGAGAAAAATGAGTCAAAACTTAAATTAACTTTAAAAATATTTCAAAAGAATTATTAAATTTAAATTTTTTGCTACATGCGCATGTACGTGCGCACGTACATGCGCATGCATGCATGCATGTAAATTTCCGAACCCATATATATATATATATATATATATATATATATATATATATATATATATATATATATATATATATAAAGAACGCGGAAACTCGTAGAAGACCGTAAGGTCTTGTCGTCGAGTACCACCACCCTAAGAAGACGTTGTTACATTTTAGCAAGTTAAATATTTTACCTAGTAAATAAAAAAGTGTTATGCAATAATAAAAGAATAACAAGATTTAAATTAAAAAAAACTACAAAAAAATAAAAAGTTTACAAAAAATTTCTTAAAGATAATTGGACAAATAGTATAATAGCAATATAGGCTTGAAAATCGTAAATAATTGAGTCACAAATCATATCAAGAAAAATCATACATTACAAATCATATAAACCGATATAGATAATAGATTAAAAAAATTTCAAAAGGTTTAAAAGTACATTTGTATATTGCCAATTTCAAAAACTACCTCTTTTAACTTTTTTTTAAAAAGATATGTAATTCCATTCAAAAGAAAAATAGAATAGTCTTAGAATTCCAACTGCAAAAAGTCTATAGAATATTTTATTGAATCGTAATCGGTAGTCGAAAGAAACTTCTATTTCTATAGGCCATTTGTTTTAAAATGCCTATAGAAAATAGTATAAGTTATTTTTATAGAAAAACTACACAAATTTTGTTATGGGGTTGGGTAAAAAATGAATGTCAATTTTATTTTTTTACTTTTAAATTATATTCGTAACAGTTTTAATAATGTTTGAACAGTTTTACTTCTCGTGGTTGTCTCTGATTAGTCAAATATTCTGAAGTAACAAAATATTCTTTATCAGAATCCTAACAGTCCAAGTCCATGAGAAAACCCAATGGGCACGGACTTAAATAAGACGTCTTTTAAACGTCTTTTGAAAGTTTTGGACGTTTTTTTTAGGTCCGGTGCCCACTGGAAACTTTTTTAACAAACTTAAGTTTTAACTATGATGTTTTTGAAACTTCAACTCAAAAACACTTTTTTTTTGACAACATTTTATATCTCAAGAAAATAAATTCAGAGTATAGATATCAACAAAATTTGATGTGGAAAAGTTTTATAACATTAAATTAAAAAATATTTTATGATTCTAAATTTACGGCTATAAAAATTCCAGAGTAAAATTTCCGCCGGTAAAAAGTTTAATAACATTGACCCCAGCAAATCAGATGTCCTCATTTGTTTGGAACAGTATGGTAGCAAGAAACAACAAGACTTCAACCCAACTATAAAGTTTCTGCTCTGATTGTTGATGGTACAGCACTCGTACACACGCTTCACCCAAGATCGTCAAAGACATTCTCTAACTACTGCGAAAAAGTGGTTGGATCATTCACGGACAGACTTCTGAGATCAGTGCAGCGATCATTGTTTTTAATTAGTATGTCCCAAAACATTTGAAGTCCGAAACACGGGAAGATTGTGGATCAGGGCAACGCATAAATGTCACAATGGGTACACTTATTCTAAAAAAGTTTGACAAACTCCTTTCTGTGGACTTCAATAAGACGCAACTGTTCGGCCTTATTTCCAGATATATTTTAACCCGATACGTAGTTGGAAAAGTTGTTGTTTGTACCATTGAAGAAACTGCATGTGCCAGTCAACAAGAATTAGATGTCTCGTCTATATCTGTGGATTCCGATGTGGTGGTTACAGCTCTCTCTGTGTTTAGCGAGATGATTGGAGTGAAAGAGTTGTGGATTGATTTTGGATTTAGTCAAAGACGAATGATAGGAGTTCACCATCTACATCAACACATTTCAGATGGTGCATCATCAAATTCTTCCATGCCTTCACCGGATGTGACACAGTATCAACATTCTGTGGGATTGAAAAACGAACGGCATGGAAATCGTGGATGAACTACCGAGTAGTTGATGTTGCATTTCACAATCTTTCAACATCAGACTTAAAAAATGATGTCTTAACTGATACGACAATGAAAGCCATTGAGCAATTTGTAGCATTGATGTACGATCGATCATCAACCGCTGCTGGCGTTAACGAATGCCGCCGTATCCTCTACACCATAAAGAATAGAGCAATTGAAAACAATTGAAAGCATTGCAGGCACATTTATGGAAACAATGCTTGTCTGCTGTTACTCCAGGATATGTACCCACTGAATGGGGATGGAAAGATATTGCTGATGACTGCTATACTCCACCTTGGTACACTTTGCTGGAGGTTTCTCGACATTGCCAGGAACTAATTCGTTGTTCGTGCAAAACTGAGTGTAAAAACTGTTCATGTAAACGACATGGTTTACCACGCACTAAGCTATGTGCATGTAACAGCTATTGTTACAAAGAAACAAATAGTGATTCGTATGAAGAGCAAGAAGTTGAAAAAGACCAGAAATTCGACCATGTTTTCAGATCTCCTTCCATGACGAATAGTAATCCAAAAGTGTATTGTAAATATGTAAATACTTGAAAACGCTATTCTGTTTACAATAGTGCTATTATACTTTACCAATTCCCTGTACCATTACACTAAAGAAGTTCGTTTATATCTTATTGGCGACCAGTGATTGCTCCCTTTTTAGTTCTTAAATTTAACACATCTAACAAGTTTTCAGATTTGTCTTATATGATCTATATAAAAATGACGAGTTATGTAACTGTTTGATCAGCATTCCAGTGTGTTGTTTTTCCATAACTGTTAACTATACCAAGACCTCATTATTTTAAGATGCTTCCTATGCATATTCTCAACTCTTCTCTTACCCATTGACATTGTCATAGTCCTTTATTACTGTTATCTTTTAATTGATTTCATTTAGTATTTATTGCAACTTACTTGAAGTGTATTGCTTGAATACTGTGAGTATGTAGGTAATAAATGGGACATTATTATAATGTGATGATAAACAAAGCCATAGAATAACCGTTATTTGATGATTTATGATTCAACAGATGTCTGTCATTAACTGGAGAATTACAAGAACCTTGGAATCCTGATGCTTTATTTCTTATCGACTATACTCGATCGTTGCTGTTGACAAGTAAACGATTTCATTGTCAGTAGACTTTTTATCGACAAGAACCAAGAACATTTAATAATTTCATTAACGAAGTACGTATGTATCATAAACTTTAATGTCCTGCAATGCAACGCTTACAATAGCTGCAAACCAAAGTCCTGCAATGCAACGCTTACAATAGCTACAACAGCTCTATCAGGCATTATTGCGCGATCACAGATGGAGGCAACTGATGGCAGTTTAACGCGCATTTGAGGAATTTTTTATCTTCTTGTAATAGTGAAGGACCTACTAAATTTCTCCCTTCTAGTTCTTCGTCATTAAAATGAAGTTTTCTCATGTTCTGTATTGATATCAATAAACGTTGATAAAATTGTGGTATTTATTAAATCTTCTTGAGTAAATTTAAATTTTCTCTGTATTTCTTTACGTTTTCTGGCGTCTTTCAATAACAAAGCGTTCGTTGCAGCTCTATCAACGTTACTTATAGTCATTTTAACAAATTTCGATACTTTTCATGATACACTTTTATCATTTGTAATATTTGGATATTCGAAACTACAGGAATATAAGCTTTTAACCATTTATTTTCAATTTTCTGAGCTAAAATATCAAATAATTCACTTAAAGTTGACTCTTTTGATGATGTATCTGGTTTGAGGTTATGTCTTATAAGAAAGTTTTCATCATATCTTCATATGTTGACAACACTACTGCTCTTAAATCATTAAAACTTTCAATCCACCATTTGTCTTAAGTTGTTTTGAAAGGGCCATTTTGTTACACAATTGTAATAACGACGCTACATAAAACTCAAACAATTCTGTATCACTTAAATTGACTCTGAATTCATCATTTAATATAACATTAATATATATCATTTTATAACACTCCAAGAGCGTTCAAAAGTATTTACTTTTATTCGATAGTATATAAAGTATTAAATTTTGTATAAACTATCAAAATAAAAACCATCAAATGAACATCAACATTTTTTAATAATAAATACCATTTATAAAAATAACAACTAGATATAAATTACAAAAAAAGTACTGCAATACAATCTTGATTATCTCATAAAAAATGCTACTTAAATGTTACTATATTTCTATTTTATAAACCAATTAGATTATGTAACAATAAACCAACTAGATTATGTAACAATAAGAAAATGACTTTTGATAAAACATTTCTAATTCTAGATCAACTAGAAGTAAATATATTGAACAAAAAAAAAAAAAGTGAATGAAAAAAAATGAGTGAATGAAAAAAAGTGAGTGAAAAAAAAAGAAGTTAAACGTGAGTCAAAAAAACCCGATAATAAATTAAAAAAAAAGAGTAAGAATCAACAATGGGGATTCAATTGCTTTTACTACCTTTATATTATTAATGTTTTGAAATCAATCTATCATAACATATTTTACACAAAAAATACTGTGCACAATATAGTAAAGATATTATATTTTTGTAAAGAAACATGATTTAAAGCAGAAACCTTGAAAACAACAAATAAACAAAAAACAACAACAAAAAAACTTAAAATTAAAAATAAATGAAAAGGAATAACAATATTTTCAGATGTATATGTATATATATAATTCATCAATGAACGAATAATTTTACAATGTACTTTTAAAAAATAAAATATATTCTTTAAATTCTGACAGGAGCAAGCAGAAGACATCTTATCACCTCCTTTGGTAACGAAATAGTTTACTTTATTTACACGTTTAAACTCATCATATATTTAAGTATAAAATTAGTTCTTACATATCTAAGAGTTAAACATACACATACATATTAGTAAAAACGTAACAAAACGAGTTAAAAATACAAAAAAAAAAATGTTTTTATTAGTGAGATTTAACAAATATTGTTTCAAATTTTTAAAAATGCTTTAATTGTGGTTATAGATTTTATGTCATTAATCATGAAGTTCCACAGACGCGTGACCCCGACTAGTAATTAAGTAGTCCAATTTTTTAAGTGTTGTTGACGGAATGTAAAAATTGTTGATGCAATGTCTTGTTAAGTATCTCTGGTTAATTTAAAAAAAAATGTCGCTGAAAATATGATGGAAGCATGTTATTGCCAAGATATTAATATTAAAAAATATAATAATTATAAACATTAATAAAAAATATTAAATTAAAAATGCATTAAAATAATATAATAATGTTAACAATAATAATTATAATAAAAAAGTAATAAGAGTTGATATCTAATGAGGATTTTCTGTGCGCAGCTGAGAAAGAAAACTTATACAGACCAGTGTTTTTGTAAAAATAAAAATTTTATATGTGTTGAAAATACGGCAGATTTAATACGAGAACTGATCTTTATAAAATTTTAGTCCGACTTATGCAAAAAGAATTTCAGCTTCTCCGCTAAATATTCTTTATTTACATAATAATTAAAAGTGAAAAAGCCCGCGAAAGATAATAATAATTAAGAGAATAAGACGCGGAAGGCTTGCATTGTTAATTGATACATTTTTTTATTATTAAGATTTTTAAAATGCTATAAGAACTAAGAATGAATAGAAGTTAAGTGATTTTAAATATGTTAAGTAGGAACCTGGTTTGTATTGTTTAAATGTTAAGTAGGAACCTGGTTTGTAGTGTTTAAATGTTAAGTAGGAACCTGGTTTGTAGTGTTTAAATGTTAAGTAGGAACCTGGTTTGTAGTGAGGAAGTTAAAGTAGTTTAACTTTAATAAAACTTTAATATAAAATGTATTTCATGGTAAAAAGTTGCAATTCAAATTTTAAAGTGATCTACAAAAAATGCCAGTTAAAGTCATCAATAGTCAAAACCGTTGGAAAAATTTGTTTTAAAAAAAAAACTCAATATTGATATCTTGAACTAAATCGAATTAGCAATATCATCGTAGCAACGATAACTATAGCAACATAAATGAAATATTATTTTTATTGATTTATAAAATCATTAAAAAATTTATAAAAGTAAAGCTTTTTGTTTATCATATAAATCCTAAATCTCCAAAAATCTTTCAACTTATCTATATTCAGGGTTTATTTATTGATTTTAAATAATCTTGTGGCACAAAGCCTTGCTTTCCATCATATTCAACTAACCACCACTCATTATTTCTTTTTGAGTCATGTTTACGAAGTACTCGTACTGTTTGTCCTTCATTAACTGTTAACTCACCAGGGTTTATAGCTTGAAAATTATATTCAACTTTAAAAGTCGCATTTTCGTCGTGTTGATCATTACGTAAATTTTCAGATTGAGTTTGGCATATTAAATGCTTTTCGTTCGCAGATTTCGTAATTAGGAACGTGTGTGGTATGTATCCTTTAACACCACCCTGCTCAACAAGCCACCAATCAGAGTTACCTTTACTGTCGCACATACGACAAACATTTACTAAGGTACCTTCCTGAACTGTGATTTCTGCATCACATTCAGCTGTAAAGTCATACTTGACGATACAAATTGTATTTTCTGCAATAGACTAAAAAAATTATTAAAAAAATGCAAATGTTAATATGATAAAATTATTAAAAAAATGCAAATGTTAATATGATAAAAATAGATAAAAAAGTTTTTGCAAGCATAAATAGAACTCTGATGTATTTATATTATTTTATTTAAAAATGTGAGTCTTTTAAGCCATTTATAATACTCAATACGGGTGAAAATTACTTTTTTTAAAAATTTCTCCAGTTACACCCCTTCGGTTGATTCTATATAATAAAAAATAACACTGAATTTCGACATTTTTTTGAGCAAAAAATATTTTCAGGGGTTCCAACTAAACCTTGAATATTTAACGGCTCCTTATTATTACCTGATACTCAAAAGAAAGAGAAACTTTATAAAAGTTTCAAAAATACAAATCAAATAATATAAATATAAATATTTTAGATTTTATTGCATGAAAGCTATATTTTTATGACAATTTTAAAAAAAGTTAGGATTTTTACGGTTTTTTAAAATATTGTTTTTCAAAAATTACAATTAATTTCGTTATTTTAAATTGATTTTTTTTATAATTTTTATAAAATATTGATTCTTTTGGGTACCAGATTGACATACTGTTAAAGAAAACTACACTTTACCCTACAGTAACCTGTAACCATACACTCTACCCCAAAGTGACCTATAAATTTTTATGTAAAGGTCACAAAGTGACCTTTATATATAAAAAAAAGTTACCCTCAGTCAAAAAAAGGAGCTCCAAAGAGAGATTTAATTCAAATCAGTTAAAAAGACGAGTTTTAACTCTTAATCTCAGGCTTTAGAAATGTCGAGGACATCATCACATCGAGGCCTTAATCTCCACATCTAATGAACAATCTCCACATTTAATATACAATAGCCTTAATCTCCATCTAATGTACAATAAAACCTATCGGTTATTACTGTTAACAAATCAGCAGTAGAACAAAAAGATCGAAATCCATATTGATGATCAGAAAGTAAGTTATTAGATTCAAGATTAAGTGTGTGTTAACTAAATAATCAAAAATCTTGCTTATGATAGGAAGAAGCACAAGCTGACAAGTAGAGTCTAAGCAGGAAATCACTTTAGATAAAGAAGCTGGAATAATACGAATGTCAAGCAATGGATCAACATGTTTTTCGGCAGTATCAGCTGAGATTTGATTAGTATATTGTTTATACTAATCAAATCTCACAGGGTTCGCAGCCAAATATTTATATAAAATTCCCTGACTTTTTTGAAAAATCAGATGAATTTCCATGACAATTTTCGAAAATAGTTTTTACTATATATTTAAAAATTACTATCTACTGTAATGGAAATATTAAAATTGTACATGCTTTGAATGACAAAACTTATAAAACTTAGCTATTATTCAAGTTAAATATTAGTATGGATTTTATTATACTTGTTAGTATGGATCTTATTATTAAGGATGACTTAGAATGAACACTAAAAAAAACATAAGTTACGAAAAAAATAAATGGGTAGCACCAACAAAAACATATTAGCTTAATTGTAAAACGAGTAACTTCTCAATCAGAATTCCCTAACTTTTTCATGACTATCTAAAGAAAAAAAAAAAAATTTTCCAGGTTTTCCAGGTACAGTACAGTAACCCTGCAAGAGATGAGATTGATGAGTTCTTAGCAAACTATTCGTCTTCATCTTAAGGTAAGGTAACAAAATCTGAACTATGAAAGAGAGGTGGAATAACAGATTTGCCCTTATTAAATAACCTGTTAAAGATTCTCTAGAAGTCTGTGAAGCCTAATTTTTGAAAAAAAAAAGATTTTGTAACCTGAGAATATCAGGCTTCGGCATAAGAAAAAAATTTTTTACAATGGTTTCTAGCAATAGTAAATAGACGTCTGTTTTGTGGAGAATTGTTTTGGCGATAGATATGGAAGTAATAGTTACGATTGGAAATTACAACAGCACAATGAGAGGAAAGCCATAAAGAAGAGTGAGGCTTGACTTAAAATTGTCAAGAAGAAATAAAAGATTCCATGCCAGCCTGAATCCAAGAAGTTACATAAGAAGCACATTTGTCAGCAGGAAAATAAAAGATTTCTACCCAAGAGCCATCACAAAAAGAGTTTCAGTCAGCATTATGGTAGTTGTAAGAGGTACAATAATAGGAGGATTCTGATGATGGAGAATAATGAGATAATAGTTTTAGAGAGATCAAACTGTTATCAGAAACACCTAAGGGTGAATATGGAGAAATACTGAGCACTGACTAGGATCAGAAATAAGACATAGGTCGAGTAGAGAAGATGAATGATTCGGGTTGTATGGAAAACGAGTTCGAAAATTGACTATTTGAGTTAGAGATTGAGAAAGGCAAAAGTTAAAGACCTTAACGCTAGCAGAGTCGCTGACAATAACTCCATCAATGATATTGGCTGATGGATAAAGAGAGGGCTTGGTCAATTTGATCAGAAATAACAGTAAAAAGATAGCAGTCTTGAGATGAAGGAGAGCAATATAGAACAAAGAGAAAAGCAATAGAGTGAGAAAAGTTACTTCGAAGACCACGAATATTAGTGAATGATAGCTCTAGAGAACTTGGTAATGACAATGGTTTTTTGTGTGTTATAGTTTTTGGTAATTTAGTCATTTGAAATTTTTTAAAGAACTTTCAAAGAATTAATTGTACTTATACACAATTTAATAGTCCAAGCAATTGCCTCATTACTATTAATAAACTCTAAGCCATAACAAAGGGCTCCAAATGTGGCCTCAACAATGCAAAATCCATGCAATGAGTCATGAAGATCCAGCATTCAACATCCTAAACTGGAAACAATTTATTATAAATACATCTATGCCAGCCTAATAGATGAAAAAGGGGTGCGAAGCTGGTCAGAAGATAGAATCTGTTTACCCCTTTGCATAGAAGGCTTTCTGCAAGACAGTAACTGGATGCATTTATGTCTGCCCAAGATGAGTATTTTTATTAAGACACCAATTCTAGCCTTTTACTCAAGCAGAGGGTGTGTTAAGTCGGAGTATACTTCTCCTAGCTTTTGCCTAAAAAAGTGTACCCTACAAAGCAACAGAACATGAAACAAGTTGTACTGGGTTACATGTTACCAGTAGCGGTTTATGAAACCTTTTCTATCAGCTACATTTCTAATAGTCAGATCAATAATAAATAATAATAGATTAATAATAGATAATAATAAATTAATAATAGATACCTGACCTGACATTATTGATATATATTTGTTTGCATATAATTGTTTGCTATAACAATTCTGGCTCAGTAACAAACAAAAATCTTTTCAGAGCAATCAAATGGAAAAAAAAGAGGGTTTAGAGTACAGTCAAAGCATTGATATATAAAATTCTTATATAAGTTTATTAATTTAGCAAAAAGGTATTGTTTTAAACACTAAACTATTATGTGTGTTACTGATGTTATACATCTAATGAACATTTTTACCAGAACCATGTTTAGAGTTTGACTTCATGAATGATTTCATGCACATTTGTCATGTAGATTTTTAAAAATTATTCTGAAATGCACAACATTATTAGTAAAAAACAATTTATGGAACCTTTTCTATCAGCGGACATGTCTAATAATCAGATCAATAATAGATAATGATAGATTAATAATAGATAATAATAGATTAATAATAGATAATAACAGATTAATAATAGATAATAATTAGATAATAGCTCTAAACTAAATAATCTTCCAACTTTTTTACTGTCTAAAAAATATTTTGGTTCTAGACTTGTTGGTTTTCCCTATTCACTTTCATTTTTAATGAATAGTAATTATCTTTATTATAAAGAACCTTAATAATTGCCAACTAAATGTAGTGCATTAAACATAGATTATCTAGGTCATATTTTTAAAATCCGGAAAATTGTTTGGGTATAATATTCGAAAAAATTCCGGAACATAATTTCCCTTATATTCTTCTTAACTTTGTTTTAGCTGAGTTGTTTTCAATATTTTTTCCAAAACTTTCTTAATTTTTGCATCAGTGTTAAGTAAAAAGCTTAAAAAATAAATATATTACAAAAATATACACCTAAACTTGTATGTATGGAAAATGTTTTGACTATCCGGAAAAAGTACAAGTTGAGAAAAATATCCGGAATTCCGGAAATATCCGGAAAAAGATAATCCCTGATTAAACATAATTAATGATTTGCACTAAATAACTTTTCCACTTTCTTCTTTACCAATGTTCAATCTGTTGTAATTGAAACAAAATTGTCCAACAAAATAAAAATGTTTTAATTTTTTTTTTAAAAAAGAGCAATACATTTATCAGCTGATAATACTCTGTAAAAACTAGAAAGGTCAAGATTCTGAAATTTATGAAGACACACATTTACATTCATATAATGACAATGTTTTACAGATGTCCACTTATTTAAAATGATACTAAACTCTTCACTTTGATTAATTTTTAGTTTAGCTAAGATTTTTTGACGTAATCTCTCTGCATTTTTCTCTCACTTTAAACTGTTGAATTAGTTTAATTATGAATTATTTAAACTAGCAGTAAGCAACCCGTAATACGCGTTGTTAGTAAATAAAATAATAAAAAAAAAACCGCGTTTAGAAAAGCCTAGAAAAAAGCGTAACTTGACTAATATTAAATTAGCGTATTCATATTATCAGATTCATAGATATTCTTTGATATAGTTTTAATTTAATTAAAACTATATTAAAGAATATCTATGAATTAAAATAATTCATAATTAATGGTTCATCTTAAATTTTCAATTAAAATAATTCATAATTAATGGTTCATCTTAAATTTTAAATATATATTAATTATGAAAATATAAAATAATATTTTAGCAATGCCACTTAATGTTATTAGGATAACCAACACAGATGATAATGTCATTTAATGGCTTGAAATTCATTTTATAACTTTTTAATCTTTTTTTTTAAAGTTCTAAGTTATTAAGATGTATTATTGTATTAAGATGATTTCACCAAATAAAAACCTGATGCTAACATATTTTAGTAAAAATTTTTAGCAACCTCAAAAATTGTAATTTTTACAGATTTTACATGTAATAAAATTAAGCATTTAGATTTAATTTACAGGTAACCTCATATTGCAATACCTGTGCGTGCGTGCGTGTGTGTGTGTGTGCAAGAGAGACTTTGTATTAAAATTAGAAATAATTTTTATACAATAGTTCCAAATATTATCCAATTTTTCATTCATTATTACAAATAAAAATGGGCAACAATATTATTACAAGAAAATAAAATAAAATATACAAAATATTTAAATTTAAAATATAAAATTACTTCAGATGCAGTTGTTTGAGTTTCATATAAGAAGGAATTTAGACTTGTTGTTTGATCAATGGGATCATATAAAGTTGAGGTATCAGAGAATGAACTGCAATTAAAACCATTATCAGATGATAATGCAGAGTTGTGATTTACATCTTCATGGTCATTCATAAAGTTCTAATAAATAAATAAATATTAAATAAGTAAAAAAAAAAAAACACTTTAGCTATTATATATTAGTATATAAAATATTACTGTTGATAGAAAAGGTTTTTTACTGTTCTCCTTTCCATTTAATGATGGGGTAAACATCAAATTAGAAAGCTGTTCTGATGCTTTCATAAAAAAATCAGTGTCAGTGTCTTTACTCAGAAATGGTAACTAAAGCAACAAAGATATTATTATAGAGTAATAAAAAAATAAAACAACATAACTCCTAAATATGTAAACACATAAATGGAAAAAATTTTCAGGGGTAAAAAATTTCAAACTTTAGCGCCAAAAAATTCAATTAAAAAAAAATATTTATTGTATAAAAAATTTTAAAAAGCTCTTAGTAGCAAATTTCAAATGACAGTTTTTATCTATAAAAAATGTCGCACTTTTGCACACTGTATTTAGAAGAAAGAGCAATTATACAACTCATCAAATTTTTTATCGACATTCCCAAGAGATTCTTTATATCATTACTTTGGCTGCTTTGTAGGAAAGAAACTAAGAAATCTGTTCTAAATTAATCATGAAAAAAAGAAACTGTAAATGAATGAGAAATACCCTATTTACTAATCTTTTAAATTCACTTAATTATAATTTATGTATTTATGATATAAACTAAAAAAGTATTTATTATATAAATTAAACAAAAATTCATGATATAAACTATTATACTTTCTATGACTTATTCCAAAACAAAAAACTTTTGAAGTTATTTTGTAACATATTGTTAAGAACTTTACAAATCTGTTTTAAAAAAAAATACTTTAGTTTAAAGAGTGAGGTCAAGGCCAAACTAAACACGAATTTAAGTTAAGTTAACTGAGCACCAAGGACAACAACTAAATACATCTAGAGTTTCAAGAAAACTAGTTAAAAATGCACTTTTACATAGTATTGATGTTAAAAGTTTACTTAATTTTAGTGATATTGATAATACAGTTTTATAATTTTCTGATAGTTTTCACTACTTTAGTGATGTTAGACTCAAGTACTAGTCCAATTTTAAAGGATTTTTTAAAAACTTCACAAAAAAGATGGTGTAAACCAAACAAATTCATCTATTTTCACTTACTTTTGTGAACGCACAATGTTAAAGGAGTTTAGCAATCAAGTTTGAAAAGAACATGAGGTTGGAAAAACTAATATCAATTGCTTCATAATAAAAAGTATTATTAAAATATAAAATCATATTTTAATATTTATAATAGTAATTTTATTATTTTTAATCAATATTTCTTTAAGGTGAACTCTTTCTGCTAACTGCCAAAAGTATGAAAGAGAACTAAAAAAAAAACTTACCTTTGCCACCTCATTAATTTGAACACAACATTTTCTAAAGTATCGATTATAAGCTTCAACAAAAGATGATAAACAGTATTGAAGAAATACCGAACATTTATCACTTAAAATTGGCAGTTCTTCAAGAAGTTGTGTATTGAGTGCTATGTATACATTTTTGATCACATTTAGTTCATCCTGAGTCTTTAAAAAAATAAACAAAGATAAATAAATAAACAAAATAAAATTATAGAAATGTTAATATTAATAAGTACCTGCATTATTTTATCTTTCTCCTTAGTGTCTCTAGCCCTAGCAGCTTTATTTGCAGCTCTATCAAAATCAAGACATTTATCATTTCTCTTTTGAATCAAACGAAATGGACCGTGAAACATCTGTAAAAGTTGGTTAAGCGGTTCTTGAACGTGTTGCAAAATGAATGAAACCTATATATATATATATATATATATATATATATATATATATATATATATATATATATATATATATATATATATATATATATACCACAATAAAAATGCAATAAATGCTATATATATATATATATATATATATATATATATATATATATTTATACACCACAATAAAAATGTAATAAATGCTATATATATATATATATATATATATATATATATATATATATATATATATATATATATATATATATATATATATATATATACATATATACATATATACATATATACATATATACATATACATATACATATATATATATATATATATATATATATATATATATATATATATATATATATATATATATATACCGCAATAATAATAACTAAAAAGTTTTTTTTTAATTAACGGTGTTTTTGTTGTTGTTTTATTAAAATATATATTTAAAACATGTGCAGAGCATTGCAACATCGACTATCTTAAAGCCTGACTCGCAATGGAGTGTTGCTACATCAACTATCTTATAGCCTGACTTGCAATGGAGTGCTGCTACATCGATTGACAAATAGTCTGACTTGCAAGGGAGTGCTGCTACATTGACTGACAAATAGCCTGACTCGCAAGGGAGTGCTGCCACATTGACTGAGGATTTGGTTTGGGCAGGCAGTCTATCATTTAAGAAAAATATATATATATATTTAAGTTTTTAAACTTTTTCTGGTCTGGTTTATCAACATGCTTTTTAAAACTACAGTTTATGGGAAAAACTTTCTGACTAACATGCAAGACTATATATATATATATATATATATATATGTATATATATATATATATATATATATATATATATATATATATATATATATATATATATATATATATATATATGTGTACCTATAGTAAAGGTCTTTAACTTACCATTTGTGGTAAAAAAAAACAAACAGGGCTTAAGTACTCTATGACATCTAAAAGGGCAAAATAAAGATCAGAATATGTTAAAACGCATTAATTTAATTAAATTTATTGCTTTTTTTTGAAAAACCACAAAAACTACTAAAATGTTTTTAAAAACATAATGATTTTTTTTTTTTTTTTAAATAAAAACGATTTTATCACAATTTCATGTAATAAAATTAATTTCACTAACACAAAACAAGTTTATTTTACTAATTAAGAAAAACAAATCTAGAAGTGTTATTTTGTTAGAGTACATTTTGTGGAATGTCTATTTTGTTTCAATTTTTTTTTGTTTTTTTTTATTAAATGATTGATTTTAATATTACATTTTTTTATAAATTTATTTATTTCTTTTCTCGACATTTGTATAAATAAATTAAATAATAAAGATTTTTTTTCTTTTAAAAAGTTAAACAAAAATAAAAAATATTACAAATAATTTATTAAATAATAAATTTAATAAACAAAAAATATTACTTGTTGCAAAAAAATTACTTGTCTCAAAAAAAGTTAAATGTACACTTTATGAACATTATAGATGAAGTGTTATAAAATGTTTAAAAGGAATTTTTTTTTTTGTAAAAGATAGAAAAGGAGGAAGAAAATCCAAAAAAAAATTACGAGAAAAATAATCAAATTTTTTTTTTAAGAAAAACTTAATTTATGAAACAATATTTATTATGCATGCTTAAATAAAACAGACAGTAAAGTATGTTAAACCGAAACATGAGTTTTAATTTGTTATCTATTTCAATTTATTTTAAATTTTATTATTATTATCTTATAATTTAGAAAAATTTTTTCTAACTTAAAAAGAAATTTCTTTTTTCACTTTTTTGATATTGAACACTGTTAATTATATAAAGCTACTATAAAAAAAACTAATAAAAAATATTATTTTTCTAAACTATTTTGAAAAAATAAAACTTTTAAATATAAACGAAGACATTGCAAAAGCTATTTGCTATATTGTATCAAGCGTAAATATTGTATTAATTAATTAAATAAAAAACTTTTTCTATGGATATTACTCTATTAATAATTTTTCAATACAATTGAGGAAGTTGAGATCCCTCGTTACGGATTGTCCATAAATTACACAATGCTAAATTTATTTAAAAAAAAAGTAGAAGAACTTAAGTTCTTTTACATGGTGATTTTCATAAAATTTAATATGGGCTGTTCTGTTTTTAAATATATATATATATATATATATATATATATATATATATATATATATATATATATATATATATATATATATATATATATATATATATTAAAAATATTTTTCAAATATATATATATATATATATATATATATATATATATATATATATATATATATATATATATATATATTTAAAAATATTTTTCAAATATATATATATATATATATATATATATATATATATATATATATATATATATATATATATATATATTTAAAAATATTTTTCAAATATATATATATATATATATATATATATATATATATATATATATATATATATATATATATATATATTTAAAAATATTTTTCAAATATATATATATATATATATATATATATATATATATATATATATATATATATATATATATATATATATATATATATATATATATTTAAAAATATTTTTCAAATATATATATATATATATATATATATATATATATATATATATATATATATATATATATATATATATATATATTTAAAAATATATTTCAAATATATATATATATATATATATATATATTTAAAAATATATTTCAAATATATATATATATATATATATATATATATATATATATATATATATATATATATATATATATATATATATATATATATATATATATATATATATATATATATAATGCTAGTAGAGTGCTCTACTCATAAGCGAGAAGTTCCAAATTCAATCCCCACCACGCCCCTGCTAGTAATGCGCTAAACTCGTTTCTCTGAGCAGTGGCCCTGTTTGTCGAGGTTCGTGTTTCTGAGTCATAGAGTTAAGAGAGAGTTATAACCACAAAAAGTAGCCTCCTCGATTGTAGTGGCCTTCTTGGCTTTGGGGAGGTGATTAATAAAAATTATATATATCAAAAAGTTACCATTTGACTTGAATATTGTTCAGCTATCATGTATATTCGACCATAGTACTTAACAATTTCATCAGGCGGATTAGGACTATCGTGAAACTGCCTCAAAGATTCTGCACATTGAAGCTCAGAAAAAGAGTTGTCCTGCAAAATGTAACAAGAAAAAATATTGAAGTTGTGTATAGATGAACATATATGCCTTAAAAAAAATTAAAGAATATATATGCCTAAAAAATAACAACAAACAAATATTACACAATACAATAAAGTATTTTCTTTAAATTGTGGACGGTGTATAATAATCTAATATATAATATACAATATGCGTATGTATACATACTTTTTTTAACTTTTGTTAAAGAAAAATTAAAGATGACCAAACAATCATATATGTACATGTGTATATATACATATATACACACTACTGTACATAATTGTTTGAATGGTCATACTTTTCGAAATAAGGTATCAAAATTTTACTTACTATCGGAGAGAAACTGAAAACAAAGCCAACATGAATTATATGTTATCTTCCTATTTATTAGATTTACAAAAAAATTAATATGAAGTCCCATTAGATTAGTTTATAATTTAATTGTTTTAATTACCCTAAGTGACAATAACCGCCATAAATGTTCTTGGCATTCTACCTAACGACTTATCCAATTTGTCAAAGTCAATTTTACGCCACTAACTAATAAAGTTTTTCCACATCTTATGCATCATTAGGCAATAGTTTTTGACATTACTTTTAATTCCTCCCATAAAAATCCAATAGGAGAGAGATCTTGCCATTGGGGAGGCTTAATCATTCTATTCAATATTTGATCGTTCTCAAACTCAGTCAAATAACTTATACAATTTTTTGAAAAATATGCTTTGGATTTAAGCTTTAAGTCATTTTCTTCTAAGAAAATAAATGGCTATCCATTAACTCATCTTTCCGAAGATGTAGCATGATTTTTAAAGTGTCTAAATAAACCACTTTTGTAGTTACTCCCTTTATTTATATAAATTCACCTGTGGCACTTCAACCTAAGCAGCCTTACACCTTAACACTACATCCACCATGTTTTACAATCAATAATACACACTATTTTATCTTACATTCAACAATTTTCATTAAAGCATTGACAGTGTAAAATTGCTCTACTCTTTGAATTTTCTTTTTAACTACTGCAAAATTACGGTCGCATAATAGAAAAAAGTGCCCCAGATGTGAAATTGTTTCAAATTTCCCAGTGGGTACCAGTGGGAGAAGAAAATGAATCATAGTGTGGTTTTTGTTTAGTCAAGGGCAACCGAAAATAGGTGGATATGCTTTACTATGTTTTGGATATGCTTTACTATGTTAGGGATATTATTTTTTTATTTTGCATGTAGTCTAAAGTTAAACTTGTATCTAACTAACTGCACACATTTCCTTTACTTCGTTTATTAAAAGCTATTATTAAGTTATTATATAGTTATTTTATTAACAACTCTTTAACGGCTGCACAATTTACATTATCATTCATTTTTTAATTTTTTTGATAACTCTTGGCATGTGCAACAGGTATCTATTTGAGATTATCAAATGACAAAAAAAAAAAAAAGAATATTTGAATACTTTGAGGTAGTATGCATACTTTATGTGACCATTTTCAGAGTATTCAATTTTGTATTAATTGAGCATTATTCGAGTATACAGTTGAGGTATTCCATATTACATAAAGCATAATGACTTGTTTTTTAGGGCATAAATATATATGTTCATATAAAATAGTACAAATAATAGAAACTGCTTTTGCATTACCTGACGTTTTTTTATTCATTTTCTTTTATATATATATATATATATATATATATAATATATATATATATATATATATATATATATATATATATATATATATATATATATATATATATATATATATATATATATATATACTCTTTTTTGTCAACTTTTAGCAAATAAATATTGATGTAAACACCACAGCCTACTATATTACACAGCCGTGTATGTTACATTTTAGAGACCAATTCTAAAAGACCTATTATAAAAAAAGATGGCTGCACAACTAGAGAGAAAACATATATTTATACCTCATCTAGACTAAATAATCTCTTACCACTCATCTGTCAATATTGAGAAAATCTATGCTCTATAGGGTCACTTTAAACTTGTGAAGTACACATACAAATATTCTTCTTCAATAAGCTTGTGTATAAGCATTGTTTGAAAACGCAGAGTTGTGATATGAGCAGATGATGTTTGTTTTGATAAAGTAAAAAATGGATATTTCTGCCAAAGTTCAATCCAATCAGCTAGTTGCCTAAAAAATGTGGTTTTACCATCATCAAAAATAATTGCATTACCAAGTTTATTAGGACTAAATTGTTGTTTTGAATTTGAAACAGTCCACCATTTTTGAAAAAATACTTAAAAAACCAGAAATGTTTTTTTAATAATATTTACAGAAATAACTTTTAAAACTTGCAATTGTTGTTTTATTGAAAATCGACAGTGCAAGAGAAACATTTTGCTTTTTATTACCAAGGGTGAAGACTTTGATAAGTAATTTTTGGAGCTTTTTTCAAATTACCTTGAAGTTGTTCATCTTTAGAATGTAGAAGATGAAAATCTCCCCAAGTTATATAACCAGCTGGACAATTATAGACATCATCTTTTATATTATAAGTAAATGATTGAAAAACAAATTTTTTGCAGAGTAATAAATTATTTCTGATATTTTTAACAATATGAACACTATCATAAAATAAGTATATTTTAATATTTGGACTATCAGGATGATAAATAAATAAATTTGACTAATTACCAAATTTCGAATGAAGTAAACTAAATGCATTTACATTTGCTTGATGATTGTCAGTAACAACTCCTTGAATTTTAAAACTAGATAAAGGAAGAGAACTAATAGAATCTGATATTTGCTCTGAAAGCCATTTACCACTAAAGGTAACTTCAGATACTGCTTTTATAACATAAGGAATAAATTTCTTTAGACTAACAATCATAAATGTAACAACTCCTTTGTACAGAGTATTATTGTCATCTGAACCCGCATAGACACCACTATAATATTGTATCTGTTTCTGAAGATAAAATTCATCTACAATTAGTATTATATCTTCATGCATTGAACCTTTCTCACAAAGTGTTTTAACAGCCTTTATTGCATCAACTCCACCTTGTTTTAGTTTATTTAATAAAGAAATTTAAGGTAATGGAAATGATTCAAGTAAAATTTCATATGCTTGTTTAGATGTATATCCTAATAATAAAGCATGTCTGATTATATCTGCAGAATATTGTGGTTGACCTTTTTCTTTATATCCTACTATTTATTTCTTCAAGAAGTATATTTCTATTAGAAGAAGCTATGTTTTTTATGTACGATGCAAGATTTTCTAGCATACTCAAACTAGTTAACTTGCCATTATGACCTTTAGTTAACCATGGAAGAAGTGGAACATTATTTCCTTTGTATTGCAAAGCTACACATAAACAATGATCAATTTTTATTGATTCAAGAATAGAAGGAAAATGTGTTAAAGGATCAAATATTAAATTGTAATAAATAACACAATTGAGATGTTTTTTAAATTGAAAACCTTCTGGTGAATGTTTACTGTTTAATTTTTCCATTCAGTTATTTTATCATTTTCAGAAAAAAAATAAGCTCATCTTTTTGATAAATACAAGTTTTAGGTGGTTTTCTTAAAGCAATAGGTGACGGTAGTGTGAAAGGCCATTTTAAGCATTCGCTTGAGAAAATTTCAGGAAAAGGGATTAAACTCCAATTTAACTTGCATTTTATACCTTGAAAAATGAAATTTTCATTAAAATGTTTTTCACATAAGAATTTGGTGAAAGCATCCAATCATTACGGTTTACAAAACGAACCCAATAATTTAGCAACTGTTGATTTTTCAATGAATAATTAGAAAAAGCAACTTGTATATCTTCCAAAGAGCTGTT